TAAAAAGCAAAAGCCACCTGTGTGGGTCTGTTCAGACTTGGATGTATTACTGACTTCGATACTCAGCTCTGGCTCATCTGCAACACCAGTGGTTCTATGATGGACAAGAACATCAGGTTTTTCATGGGCAATACAAAACATAAAGATGTTTTAACTTTGTGGACTTCTATAGGAACATTTTAAACATGAGATTGGCCAACACGGGATAACAGTATTCTATTAATTTTTCTAACATCTAAGGCCTTCACTGACTGCAAAAAACCAAAGCATCATTTCCCAAACTTCAAATATACTTGATGCTCCCGGAAGGGGAGTTATATTTATATTTAACTCTATGGTATTTAGAAATAATTAGGCACAAAATATCAGTTTATAGGAGAGACCAAGATGTTCTGGGTGGGAAGAAGTAAACATAGAAAGTTGTGAATGAGCTCATCTTAATGAAGAAACTTGTTCTGGCATCGTTTTTCTGAAAATGAACGCTGTGCCATCTGTTTACTAACATTGAATAAGATATGCTCACATGCTGGCTTTTTATGTTAAGTGCTCAGTGTGAGGAGGAAAACTTCATTTTGAGCATGTTTGGATCTTTCAGAGACTTCATATTTATAATCGTCCTGCCCTCTTCTGTCTCTGGACTCAGGAGGTTGGAAGCTGAAGAGGGAGTCAGAAATGATGCGAACTCACTGCCCAGAAATTTCAGTTTTATGCCAATAGGCTACCTATCCCCAAAGTTTCAAAAGTTGAGGAGCGAGTTCCAGTCCAAGACGGCAACGTGGGAAGACGCTGAACTCACCTCCTCCACGGACACACCAAATCAACACCTATTTATAGAGCAATTCCTCCTGAAGAACTGAGGGCTGACTGAGCAGCTTCTGCACAACCAAAGATAGAAGAGCAAGAAAAATAAAGACGTGCTAACGAAGGGCCCTGTAGGAACTGCCGTGGGAGGGATAGTTCTGAGGGACCGTGAGCAGCTTTGTCTGCCTTGGGGCACAGACAAAAGCCATGGTTTAAAAGGGCAACTAGAATAGAAAAGATCCAGCCTTAGAACTCCAATGGTGGGAGAGCTACTGGAACTCTCTCTGCTGGGAAGAGCAGGCGAGGGCCTTGGTTCACCGTCCCCCTCCACTTGGATAGTGCACAGGAGAGCAGGTCCCCGGTCCTCCGGGCGTCAGAGCTGGCCTGCCTCCTCAGTGCATGTGAGTTTTAGAGCTTCTCTCTTCAGAGAGATAAATAAACTTTAAATATAAACAGGGACACCTGGCTGGCTCAGTTGGTTAAGCATCTGCCTTCAGCTCAGGTCATGGTCCCAGGGTCCTGGAATCGAGTCCTGCATCGGGCTCCCTGCTCCGCGGGGAGTCTGCTTCTCCCTCTCCCTCTGCCACTCCCCCTGCTTGTGCTTTCTCTCTCTGACAAGTAAATAAATAAAATCTTAAAAAAATTATATATATACTTATATATATGTATAAACAATATATGTGAAGCTTTTCTATTCTATTAAAATTTGCCACCAATGTTAAGCTTATCTATTAAAGAGAATGTTTGTGAGGGAAAAAAAAAGACAGGCATCCCAAGTCCCCAGTGACAAGCTGGGTAAAATCTCCTCTGTTTTGGCATTCCTTTTAACCTATCAATACTCCATGACCACACTCCCAGATTTCAGCATGGAGAGGAAGAAATCCAAGTCATGCTCACCTGGTCACTTTCTCATTACCCCCAGCCCCCTGCTATCATCCTCCCACCATCCTACTGGACTGAGTGAAGTGGGCTTCTTCTCTTTTGCAAGAGTTTTCCCTGCCTCATCTTCTTGTTGTGGTAGCATTTGACCCCTCCCTTTCAGATGCCTAGGTCCACACTGATTTGAGCGGGACACCATGCCAAGTCTAATGGGATCCTCCTTCCCTTTCAGACACTGCTTCTAGCATTTTCTCTGGCTACCAGCCCCCAGGGCATTCCCTGTAGCTCTGAGCTCCACTGATCTTCCTGTAGCCACCAGAGTTACAGGGATCCCGGCCCTTGGGAGAGAAAGGCATTTCTGTATCCTTGCTCCTTGGCAAAGTTTCCTCCCCTGAAATGTCTCATCCTAGCTTTCAGCTAAATAGTGTCCCTCACTTGCTTCTGTCTCTTGGTCCAGGCTGGTTTCTCAATGCTCCCTCTGATGTGCTTAAAAGAGTTGCTAACTGATTCTTTCCTAGGGGAGAGTGTGTCTTCTCTGTTCTTGTCTTCAGCATCTAGGTCGTGTCTCACTTGTCATATACCATCTTTCTGATACAGCCTGTCTGCAGAACAAAGGCTCCTGATTCTCCCTATTTCAAAGCCCTTTGTGGTGAAAAATCCTATTCCCTACTTCCTAACTAAGCTGGGATTTCGTTCAGGTATCCTCACCCGGCAGTCCGTGTGTTTAAGTCAGATATTCTCAGTTGGAGGGTAGAGGTGGCGGGGTGGGGGGTGTCATTTTGGCCCCAAGAGGACATTTGGCAATGTCTGGAGGCATTTTTAGTTGTCACGAGGATGGAGTGTACTAGTGGTTTCTAGTACGTAGAGGTGAAGAATGCGGTTAAACATCCTACAGTGCACAGGACAGCCCCTAACAACAAAGAATTTTCTGGCCTGTAATGTCAATAATGTGGAGTTTGAGAAACACAGGTCTTAGGGGAAGATGATCTCATCCTAGTTCTGTAAGTAGGCTTGATTGATCTGTAGGTAAATCTACTCCTTTGCAGTGACTGATTTAACAACAAGTAAATGTCCCACTCTACACCAGTGAAACATGAGAAGTTACTGGGTGCTTCTGAAAAAGTCCGTCCTTTTGGACATTGTCAGGTGAGGCTGTCAAGCTAATTCACCTCACCACCAGCACTGGAAGTAAAGCAGAGTCAAGGGAATGGCAGGGAAAAGGACCAGGGCCACCAGACTCAGTTAACCCTAAAGCCCACCCTTCTGCTCAACTTGCAAGGAGAGGAGCCCCTTTACTGTTTAAGCATGTTTTGAGATCTATTTTGTTGTTATTTGCAACCATGTGAATCCTAACTGATGCATCTTTACTCTTTCTTCCTCCCTCCCCACTTCTTCCCTCCCTTCTCCCCCCCCTCTGTCTTTCTTTCTCCCTCACTTCCTCTTTCTCCCTTCCTTCCTTCCTTTTTTCTCTTTTTCTTTCTTTCTTTCTTTTTCTTTTCTTTCTTTCTTTCTTTCTTTCTTT